GTTCTCGGCTTGGGGCCACACCTGGAGCAGTCGGCCTTCTGACAAGGCCTCGGGGGTGTCCACTCAAGGCTTCGGTGTGGATATTGCGTTTTTTTCACAGATACACTTCTCTTTGCAGGCAGCGCTGTGCACCTTAGCAGGAGACAGCTGTTCCTCCCTCTCTGGGTGGCTCTGAGACTGAGCGCTGGGTAAGGGGCGACACAGGGCCCCCCCACTGTAAGGGACCCCGCCCCCCACCAAAAGGTTTGTGTGGCAATGCTGCTTTGGCATCAGGAGAACGGCCGGTGCCCGCTGACTTCCACCCGCTGGTCATGGCACCCACCAAGGGTCTTGCAGGAACCGACGGTCTCATCGGGGGTGCGGAGCAGCCACGTTCTGCCTCAATCATTTCTCCTCCTCCTCCGAGCTGCCTGGCGGGTAGAGAACAGCTTTCTCCAGTCAGCGGGCTACCCGGCTGTCCTGGAATGTGGTTCCCACGGCCAGGAGGCGGAAGGCTTCAGTCTGTCACCTGAGTGAGCTGGTGCCATGGTGACAAAGTCCCGTTTTCTGGCTTTCTCTTTTTCTGAGAATAGGTACAGATGCCCAGATTTTGACAAACCATTCTTTCTGTCACGTTGTCCCGGACCTGGTCAGCGAAGCTCCTGATTTTGAAGTAAGTGTAGATCGAAAGGAAGTCGCAGCAAAACAGCACCGAGAAGTCTGTGGGTCCTGCACGCGGCTTCCCCAATGGCTACAGCTTGCTGTTGGATGCCGTCAATTTCCAACTCACAGCGACCCCGCAGGACAGAGCACAACTGCCCCATAGGGTTTCTGAGGCTGTAATCTTTACGGAAGCAGACTGCCACATCTTTCTCCCACGGAGCGGCTGGTGGGTTTAAACTGCCCACCGCTCGGTTAGCAGCCGAGTGCTTAATCGTTGTGCCATCAGGGCTCCTGGTTACATCTTACATTAAAAAAACGTTGCCACTGAGTCGAGTCTGACTCATGGTGACTCCATGTGGCTTTCTTGACTGTGATCCTTTTTTTTTTTTTTTTTTT